CTAATGCTGTTGTGCTTGGCCCAATCTGTATCAGGTTCTGCACCTGGCACAATACCAGACGCGGTACCTGAGCCTAATGCTGTTGTGCTTGGCCCTGTCAATTGGTCCAAAGGAGTCTGTACCTTACCTGTTACAACTGGCCAGGGTTAGTCATGGTTAGTCCTTTACACCTGACTTTTTTGTTTTGGCTATGGTTAGTCCTTGCCTTACAAGTTACAACTGACTATAGTTAGTCATGGTTACTATTTTTTTGGCTATGGTTAGTCCTTGCACTATACCATTCAATGTACAGCTATATCCTTGTCTTCATAGATTCCTATGGTGAATCGCCAAGGCTCGCATCTTATTTCCGGGCTCCCATTTTGTTGCCTCCTGTTGTTGTAAGGAGGCGTTCCGTCGACTTTTGATCGTCTCCCCGTCTGTCGGGGCCTGTTCTCTGTAGTCTGTGCCGACGCAGGGTGCAGCTTTGCATATTCGCGACCAGCGTAAAGTTAATCATCACGCTCCTTTCGCTTCTCCCTGCCACGAATGAGGGAGAAAGAGCCTGACTCTTTCAGGCACTGGGTTGTTGTTGTGTGTGTGTGGAAAGCGGAGGAGCCTGGCCTGTTGAGTTGGTTTCGAGGCGTACACTGCAGCTGCTGAACGATGCTGATCGGATGGAGACTCACTTGTTCTCATCTATCTTATGTTGTGTAGGGTGGTCCATACATAGGACTTCATTCATAAGCTGATGATGCTGATGCTGATGCTGATGCTGATGCTGATGCTGATGATGGTGATGATGATGATGATGATGATGATGATGATGATGATGATGGCATCTGTGTAATTTTGAGTAGATGGGTTGATAGAACTTGATACACACTAAAGACGGTGTGGTGAGGGTATTTTTGTTGCACACTAGTCCGCGATCGGGCATTTTCTCTCAACTTCAAACGCCGAGAGTCTCAACTTCAAACGCCGAGAGAGGTTCAAAGCGATCCGACGTGTGTGGTTGCCCTGTGTGTTAGGACGGCCGACAGGTCCTGGTTAGAGAACTCTGGACCATAGACTCGACCGCGTCTTGTTCTGTGTGAACCAAATGGTTGCTTCGGCGTCCGGTTTTTCGTCCGTCTGTACGGAACATGTGTGGGTGGTTGGTGCCGGACCATTGCCAGCTGTCCCCTCCTTGCCCTCGTCAGCTTTTGTTCGAGTTATCGAGAATGCAGTGGGCCGAGTGCCACTGCGTTCTTCGTTCACCGTGTAAAATTTTGCATGTTATTTATACACACAAATTTTGAAATGTCATTTATAAAAAAAACAATTATCTCATGTGTAGGTGTGGAACAATCTCATGTGGTTTCTCGTGAGCACTGCGCATGTGTGTGGTCGGCGTCTGTCTATTGCCAGCTGTCCGCCTTGCCTCCATCACTTTTTGTTAAGGGTAATGGAGAATGTAGTGGCTTGAGTGACGCCGTGTTCTCCATTTACCGTGTCAAATTTTGCATCTTATTGATATTGCTTGAGCTCATATGGCACACTATATTTTCGCATTTCACCAAAAGAATAATGTGGGCTGGTCACACAATGCAGTTTATCTCAACTGCTGACAGCTTGCCACAACATTGGCGAGCCATCAAGAAAAAACAAAAAAAAAACAAAAAAAAAAAACATTTAACTCATGCGTAGGTGTCAAATGATCTCATTTTGACTTCGCTTGTCATGCCATCAAGACTGGGATGAGTGTCACGGGGATCGCATTTGTTCGACCTGTAGAGAGGCAACCGGGATGAATGCCACTGCTTGCTGTGGGTGTACTGTGTGTGCACACTTCGGATGGTGCAGTACCTCTTAGCCTGGTTTGATCAGCAGACTATGTGTAGTATGTGGCAAATTTTTTTTCTTCTTCTTTTTTATGGTTATTTATTTATTTATTAATATTACTTAATTTCACTTATTTAAAGTACTTTTATTATTTATTTTTATTTTTATTAAACCAGTCTATGTGGCAATTCGTTGATAGTCGATGTCCTTTTTTGTCACCATAATGTAACTGTGACTAACATCCGCTCTTTTCTTTACACGGTGTATGGGCGTGGTCCCCCCCACCTGCCCGGGTTATCCTTTTCTGGCCGTCGATCCTTGTATCCGAGGGTCAGAGGGACGCAGGGCCTGGAAAATGGCCCTAGTGTGCAGGCGCAGCATGTAACAGTCCCTGTACAATGTTGTGAATGTATCAGCTGGAAATCGGGTCCAGCGCCTGTTTGTGTTGATGCAATCTATATGATCTGTGCTTCGTATGCCTGTGCTGTGAGAGGGTTCCATCTGCTGTGTGTGCTGTGGGTGACAGTGTTGTGCTGTGGTGCTTTTGTATCTTAGTTGTGTAATATGATGCATGATGTGAGTGTGTTGGTGTGTTGAGTGAGGTTTTTCTTTTTTTCTAACCACTAGTACCTTTGCCGGTTGAGAAATGAGGGAAAACGCCAGCTCCCGAAGAATTTTGGAGGCCGGGCCCAACGACGACTGCCATTGATTAATCTAATCGGCGGCCGTCATTTCGTTTCAGCCCTCCTGAAAGGTCGGCGGGCCGCTATTTTCCCAAGCGACAAAGGTACTAGTGGTTTAGACACCAGTCTCCTCGCTAAAGAAGGTGATAAGAGCATCTGGTTGCTCCGATCTATTGGCGGGGAGCAGCACCAACTGGCTGAATCTCGATCATGTGCGAGTACAGACCAGAGCAATTACTCAACAACAAAGTCAAAGACTTCAGTGGATGATCGGCATTTCAACAGTCTTTCTCAAACCAGACCAGTTTGAACCTTTGTTGAAGTACAAACCAGACTAGTTTTTTTTAATACAAACTTATTACAAAGTTACAAATCCTTTCTTAGTGAACTGCAGAAGTCAATGAAGTCGACTGAACCCGTCAAACCCGAGCGGTCAGTCGGCAAAGTCAAAGACCAGGTATAGGTTGTCAAAGTGCAATACACAGAAAGTTTGCAAGGTTCATCGGAACAGCACACAAAACATGCGTATTGATAAGTACCAAGTACCATCCTACGCAATCGCAACACAAGATGAGAACTGCATTTAGTCTATCCTTTCTGTCCTGCGTCGTGCCCTGGGAATCGGGTCCAGCGTCCCATTAAGCGAACACTTTTTTGAAACGCATTAGATAGAACTTGAGAGAAGTCCTGAGGCCGTAAACCCGTTTGAAACTACACTGGGACCTCGAAAGACAGCGGGTGTGGCGGGAACATATCCCGGAACCCCTCCGCTGGTCTCAGGGGGATGTTGGGGTCAATGGTCATCCAGTCCGTAAACACCAATCGTTAATCCCGGGGAACCTCCCTCTGCAGTTCCTCTCTGTCACCCTCACGCTTCTAACCTCCCTGCTCCACCTCCCTGGCCCCTGACCATCGTACCTCGCCCCCCCCCTCCCCAATCCCCACCCAACCAAATCCCTAGAGTACTGTGTGATTCTCTCCGAGATGTCCTTAGCCGTGTGTAGGGAATCCAGGACCCCACCAATAGATGGAGCCTTCCCGACGGGGCTAGTGGTGTCTGCTTCTATCAGCACCCCTAGCAGCCGCTAGGGTTGTTTCGGCAAAACAAAAAAAAAAGGAAAGAGAAAATGAAAATGATGCTTGAACTGCTCAAGCCTTTCCTCTGCCTCCACCCTGACTTGTTCTATCGCTAGGGAGCAATGCTGCCACCATAGGGTCCACAGGACAGTTCGACTCCCCAGGTGGAACATGTTTCGTTCGAAAGTATTTCGTTGAGAACCTGGGTAATGCCCCAATAAGAGTGCCCTCCAGTCGCAAGGCCACGGGTGATCCGGGACCGTCTGCCTGAGTCTAGATTCTGTCCCACCACCTCCAAGTCAATACCGCAGCCGTGCATTGTAGGAAGACGTGCTCAATCGTCTCCTCTCTCTTCCGTGCCGGGAAGTTCATCACACAGCGCGGGCACCATGGGAGGGCACAGCCCTGTTGTTCAAGCCATGTGTGATCAATGATCCAGTTATTGGTGGGGAGACAGCGGCGTGCGAGCTGCCACTGGAGGGATGTGATCTTAGCTGGCCTGTGCTTGGCGTTTTGAAATCAGCGTATGGGGGTAAGGGACTGTTTGTCCACATTGAGGTGCCGCTGCCATCTTTCTACCACCACGTCCTTCAGGTTTAGTTTAACCCTAAGCATTCTGTAGGCGGCCTCCCCACCAGCACCGTTTCCCCAACTTCTGCTCCCTCTCCCCCATTCCCCCTGCCCGTCCCGTCCCCCCCCTGGGCTCAGGTTTCGTTTAACCCTAAGCATTCTTGAGGCGGTCTTTACAGAGAGCTTTGAGAGCCACTTAGGTTTGCCTTTATATTGGTTCCTGGGAACCCTTCGAACTCCCCACCAGGACCGCTTCCCCGACTTCCACTCCCTCTCCCCCATCCGCCCTGCCCGTCCCCTCCCCCCCCCGGGCTCAGATTTCGTTTAATTCTAAGCTTTCTGTAGGCGGCCTTTACAGAGAGCTTTGAGAGCCACTTAGGTTTGCCTTTATATTGGTTCCTGGGAGCCCTTCGAACTCCCCACCAGCACCGTTTTCCCGACTTCCACTCCCTCTCCCCCATCCCCCCTGCCCGTGCCCTCCCCCCCCTGGGCCCCCGTCCCCTCTCCTCCCTGATCCTGTGATTGCCTTCCCCGAACACTGAATGTCGCCGTACCCACCTGCCTCATCCAGCCCCTTCCCCGCCAAGCCGGCCAGGGTGCCCCGCCCCCTTCGCAATGGGCTCCATGGGACATACGACAAATGAGAGATCCCTCGTCATGACCGAAAGCAGGACAGACATGGTTTGGTCACTAAGAGTCGAGCGAAGGGGAGAGGGGTTTAAGGGTTTTGAGGTATAAGGGTTTCAGGGTTTAGGGGTTTAGGGGGTTAGGGGTTTAAGGGGTTAAGGGCATTAAGGATAGGATAACGCGCAGGGAAGGGTTTCAAGGTACGGTTTTAGGGTCTAGGGGTTTAGGGGTTTAAGGGGTTAAGGGCATTAAGGATAGGATACCGCACAGGGAAACTGTGTAAGAACGAACGGGGAAGAGTAGCTTGGTCAGCGCAAGCTGAATTCGAAGGGCAGCAGTAAGAAGCAAAAGAAGACCGCCGGACCATTGGTGGGGACTGGGAAGGGATGGAAGGAGACCACCAGGAACCGCTCCCATGGTGCTAGGAAGAGGGGCATACATGTGACATGGGAACAGGGACACAAACGGGATACAGGATAATCTCAAAAGTATGGGACGGCGGAACTCACCCCGCAACTTGCCACAGCTACACAAGCACAAAAGCATTACAAAACACATCAGGGATGACACAGACACAGACACAGACACAGACATGAACCACACCACCCCACAATACTAGCGACACTTGGACACTGCTGCATCGACAGTAACACATAGCCCATACACAGACATACGCTGACTAATGTTGCTTAGAACATTCACGATCCTGCCGACACACGACCTACCACACGACCCACACAACTTAAACAACGTCGGCACAACTCTTACTCCCACCACTGCCACCACATGCAACTCTTCCGCATGCCAGGTACATAAGTTGGACAAAACTGCACATGGATGCAGAACCAAAAGGTATGCCAAGTTGCCAACAATGGGCGGATGGAAGGCGGAATGGGGGGTCTCGGACAGAATGTGGGGCCTGCTACTGCCCACACCTGCCAAACAGATTCGACCACCAGGATGACACATAACGTCACTGCAAAGGTACCATACAGGGACGCTGGACCCGATTTCCAGCAGGTGCAGCTCCCAACCAATAGATGGAGCTGTCAACGCGGGGCCCCACTTAAAAGGGAAGAACCAAAAGGTACGCCAAGTTGCCAACAATGGGCGGATGGAGGCGGAATGGGGGGTCTCGGACAGAATGTGGGGCCTGCTACTGCCCACACCTGCCAAACAGATTCGACAGCCAGGATGACACATAACGTCACTGCAAATGTACCATACAGGGACGCTGGACCCGATTTCCAGCAGGTGCAGCTCCCAACCAATAGATGGAGCTGTCAACGCGGGGCCCCACTTAAAAGGGATGCTCTTATCACCCTTTTAAGTGGGCGCCCTGGAACTGAAGTTGCTTCTTTTTACAAAAAATGGTTTGCCAACGCCAGGGCCGTTGGCTAGGGACCATCACTCCACAGGGTCCATGGCCAGCCTGGCAAGCGGGATTTCGGGTCGGAAGGACCCTACTG